TCATGTCTAAAGCGTGGCACCCCACAGTCGAGCGTATAAACTCATCGGATGATAAGCCTGCGACATATTCATTGACAAATACGCGCCAATTGCAAAAACATCGCGGCCTCGATTAAAAACAGTCCAAAATAACGGTTGCATAAAGTACTACATGCAACAGCCGCTCCTAAAGTGCTGCAAGCAGCGACTCAATTAATAGTGTGACGTCCACCGCATGATTACATCGAAATGACAGTGGCGTCCGTACCTCTTGTCATGAACACTCATGCAAACTACTTTCCTCGGTGATGGTGCCAACATTTGTTCACATAGTTGACTTCTTGATGGCAGCAGACACGCGGGAAGAAGAAACTTGATCATTCTCGTAAAAGGCCCTGGTTTACGAAACTTAAAGCACCCTGCATGCAAAATGACCAAACCTATGTGGCGAAATTATTGACCTAACTCTTAGTGCTGAAACATTTAATTAATATGTTTGAGTATTTTCTCATTTAATGGTCGTGACTTCGCAATGTTCTATTTTTATGTTTGCGTTTTGGTTAGCGAGTAAACTCACATCATAACCAGGTTGCTGTCACCACTTATGCAAGCGAAAGGCTTCTAACAAAACATACTAATATCCATCGCGCAAAACTACTATAATTCAATGTAGATCAGATACATGTTGCCTAAATGACGTGTGAACATGCAGATGGTGAAGAGCGGCGCGCGCCTGCAAAATACGAGACAGCGGTCATCGCCGACTTGCGCTCATGACCTCGTCAACAAACTTAAGGAACGTTTTAAGTCGAACGTTTGATTACGACAGTGTATGTTACCATACTACATACTCTGTGATAGAATAGTACAAAAATGCTTCCTCATTGGCAACTACGGAACAAATAGTCCAAACTCGCATCTATATGTAGTAAAAACAGAGCGTGCCCAAACCTAGTGCCGTCTGTAGTAGCGTCGACTGTATGACTAATCTTATGTATTCTCCCGGAATTGATCGATTTACAGCTCATAATGCAGAAATATTGGTACATAATAAATAACCGACTGTTCAATCCATGGCTCTAGCTAACGAATCTAGCCGGATGCCTCACAATTATACTCCTTAAACTCGCTCTATAACTTCTTCTCTAGCACATGATCTTAGCTTCCGCTCCCGCGTACTCGCCTACATTGGCAGTCTCGTCATGAATCCTCTGTGAGTGCCAATCTGCCTTGGTCGGCCTCTTCAGCACAACTATATCAGCACCCTCCTGGTCTCGGATTGCAAAATCCCACTGTGGCAGACTTGCGGTATTAGACCTACTCTAACATAAATATTCGCCTAGCATAGCTCAATTAATTTAGAATTCTAGTGACACATCTAGCACAGTCTAAGTGACGAAGTTGCTTTTGTATACGATATGCAGATATAAATACTATTAAATTCGTAGTGAAGTAAGCCAAGGGCCCGTGTAACGTAGTAACGCCAATGCTAAAACATCTAGCTTCAAGATGCGCCCACAGCTATGCAGGAAGAGTGTCCTCATAGTTCTTGCATTCCGTCTTCTATTCTGCTGCTATCTGTATCAGGCAGCATGTTTCTTGCTCAGCCCTCAAGCTCTGCTGTTATATGACAAACATTTCTATCTATGTATGCAGTTAACTCATGTTAAGAAACCCTTGATCTTGAGATCCCGAGGAAATACAAGTTCCCTCACCTGACATCACTCACAAACCTGTTTTTCCGTAACGTAATTACAGATAACTCCCAAGAAACTGGTCCTACTAATCCCTTCATATTACAGTGAATTCAATCATGTTGGTGCGCGCAGAGAATCTTGGTGAGTAAACTTGGGTTTGCTAGACTGCGTCTTTGCAGATAAGAGTGCAAACACCTATTCACTCACATCTTACTTCCTTGTCCTCCTAAATCTTCACCCTAAAGAGAAAAAAATTGCTAATAATATAAATTCATATTAGGTCCTATATTGTTTATACATAAAGTACTCCTTCTATTACACCCGATCAACAGCATATATGTAAACTACAACAACTGTCTTCGTTTTCGGTCGTCTTCCTACATTTAACGTGACATAAACCCGCATATACAAAATACTGACTGCTATAAGCATTTGTGCAGGCAAACAACACAACACCTGTGGAGTAGCGAAATAACACAAGTTAATTAAATAGGACAGTAAGTATAATTTAGCTTTTTAGTACACTATTACCGTTCTCTTTCAAAAACGTTGAGATATAAGCAACAAGCATCGGCAATATGAAAAATCAACCCGTTAGATAAACTTAAAATCGAACAGTACTAAACCTGTCATGACAGAAACGTATATTGGCATTACCAACATTATAACACTCATGTCATTCGTCAGAACATTTAATTTTACCAACCTGAATCATGAACATTGGTAGTAATAAGTTGTAGTGCCAAAGACCAAAACTCGACCATAACGCTACAGCTTGTTACCTTGGAAAAGCGCCCACTTTGATAGAAGTTCTTTCTGCCAAGTATTCATGTTATCAAGAGAACAGGGTCAATTTCTCACCCAGGTTCCGATGATATAGGCCTACCCTGGCTCAAACAGATCTCTAGTGACTTTGAAGTACTGGTGTGTTGGCCTTGTTATGCTAGATTGTATAACAGTGAACAGATTGCATTCTTAAACGTTTGTGTCCAAGAGACCTCTCACGTTTATGGTCTATAATGGCTTTTAAGATACAGATAAACGCGAAACAAATTAATACTCTAGGGAGAGGGTCTGGCTACAAAGTGATCACTTCGGCCATCTATACTCTTGAAAAAATGCGGAATTACATCGCCTCGTTATTCTATCACAGCTGTTTCGACAGTAACAGTTGTAAGCGCTCCGCTGGGGTTCCTCCGACGCTCCTTTCATCAATATTGTGTACTTTGTGTTAAAACTTTCGATCCAAACTGAACTTGCGCCAATGTCGGCGGTACTGCAAACATTTCTAACAGATCACCGTTTTTTTAGGTTAATATTTTACTAATTCTTAGACATTTTAGAGCACATCCAATGTGTAAAAGCCTAGTTCGCAACATTATAACATATATCGATTCTTTGTGTGCTAAAATAGTGTGCAAATTAATAGTAAAACCAATGTCCGTTGATTAATGTGGTCATAGAGTTGAGATGGGCAGATCTTGCGATTATAGGAAGAACAGACCCTCCCGCCAAGGCAGCCTGAATTCTGTCACTCGCCTATGGCGAAAAATTAAATTATATTAAATTAAATAATTAAGTTGGATCCCGGATGACGAACCAAAATGTAATCAATTCTAAAGTTAACTTCCCAATTTACTGGACGTATCCTGAAAATTGTATTCTAATTAATTAATGAATTAATTTAACTTGAATTAGATCGGATCACCCCAACCAAAGATCTCATAATTTCCTAATATACCGCCCCCCATGTCTGAACCTATCCTAGTGAAAATTTTCAATAATGAACAATCGCCGCCATAACACTTTTCCCCAGTTAGCTGTACACACAACAAACCACAGCAAACCCACAAACCCACAAACCACAAACCCCATAAACGAACAAACACAACGCCGTTAAAAACTAACTCATCTGCCCAAGCGCCCTTTGCGAGGTAAAAAAATGCAAAATTTCCCAGCACATCTGGCCATAGATCCCATTGTTAACCAAGGCAGCGTTACACGTATTCATACCAGAAATTATTGTCCATAATTCTCATGTTTCTATCCCGTGCTTGCCCCCTGCTTGGGGATTCAGAATCAAGCAGCGGATATCTGCGGCAACCCAGAGAATCCAAGATACAAAACATCATCGCAGTAGCAATTCCCTCTAGACCACTATGGGTTTACATCGATATATATGCCTTTTTCTTTGATTATTTTGACATCAATTGTAACATTTATTGTTTAACCTACATCGCTCATACATGTTTTACACGCGTTTTTTAACTTGAAAATTGCAAAATGAATTGTATTGACGAAACGCCAAATACCTTATTGAGGGTCCTAGCCGTGGACGCATGGAGCATTTTTCTACTCACATCCATTAAGATATCTCATCGATGTGAAGCCCTTGTAAGTCCAGCACTCGCTGATATTAGCCTTGGGGGTTCCCCAGCGACACATACCCAATAATTTACAAAAATCCTGGGGAGGCATTGCCAGAACAGTGTTTATTTCTAAAACTAAATCCGCCTGTAAAACCCTTTTTTCGCAATCGTTGTCACAAGAAATCCTAACTCTGGCTCAAATTCGGATTCCTACGAAGTGTAGAAGATGGGTTAGCCTGTCTATGCGAGATCTTGCGCTGTGGAAACAATCGTTAGGCACTGTCTAATTCTCTCCCACAACTCGCAAGGGCTGATGAAACCGACCGTGTGTGACGGTCTAAGCATAGATATATACAAGCAATATGTACAAGCAATATATACAATGTGTTTGTAAAATACATATTTTATTTATTTTTGTATATATCTATGATCGAAAGCAAATAAGCGCACACCTGCGAGTAACTGATCTTGCGCAACATCATCATCTCTTCCAGCTGTCGAGCAGACGAGCACGAAACTCCTGATTGAAGGGTCCTGCGTACGACAGGAAGCCGTCGCCAGCAGCACATCCCCAGTCAGCCGCTCCCGCTTCATCCTGTGCGAGAAGTGTGCGATGAGGGTTTAAAACTCTACGACAGGCGGCGCCTGAGAGTATGGTTTAACTGAGCGTTCATCGCGTGCCTCCGACCCATTAATCGAAATATACATTGTGCGCGCTAAATCAAGACATGCTACAATGATGTGAGATGTTAAATGAATATTAATATATATCGAATAATAAAGTTAAATAATGAACTAATAATCTAAATATATATTATATCTTATATCTATTATTATTCACTCCTGATATTATCTTGTTTTTATCTTATTATTTTCTTTTTCTTGGCGAGAAGCTGAGCAATGAGAATCAATTAGTTGAAAAGAGTAGCTTCCTTGAATATTTGGGTGCACGCAGATATCCGCTGCTGATTGATCCTCAAGGCCAGGGCAAGCACTGGATCAGAAACAGAGAATCTGGCAATAATCTCCTGGTATGAATACGTTCAACGCTGCCTTGTTAACAATGGATCTATCGCAATGTGCTGGAATTTTCGAATATTCTCCTATGTTTTACATTGAATTTTCACACCTATTTACACACAAGAACAGCATGATATTGTTATACCTTTGAACTTTACAATTGATGTGCTCTAAATGTCAAGAACATTACAAAATATTAACCTGAAAACCGGTGATTGTAGAATGTTTGAGTACCAGCCGACCATTGGCGCAAAGTCAATTTGGATCGACAATTTTAACACAGTGACACATATCGACGAAAAGGAGCCGTCGAGGACCCGGCCGGACGCTACAACTTTACTGCGAAACACTGGATAGATAAACGAGCGGAATTCCGCTTTTTATTCAAGAGTATGATGGCCGACGTACACTTTGTAGCGTGACCTCTCCCTAGAGTATAATTGTCGCGTTTATCGTATCTAAAACCATTTAGACACAACTTCAAGAGTTTGGACAAAACGTTTAAGAATGATCCTCACACTGTGATACACTCTAGATAACAAGCCTAAACCACCGGTACTTCAAAGTCAACCTAGAGGACTGCTTGAGCCAGGGTAGGCCTATACTCATCGAGAACCTGGGTGAGGAAATTGACCCAGTTCTCGATAACATACTGCAAAAGAACTTCTACAAAGTGGGCGCTTTTCACAAGGTACACAGGTTACTTATGGTCCGAGGTGTCTTTGGCACTAACTCTTATACCATGTCATGATGCAAGTGAAATAAATGTCTGACAATGACATGAAGTGTAAATGTCTGGTAAGCCATATATACGTTCTGTCATGACAGAGTACTGTTCGATTTTAATTATCAACGGGTTATTTTTTATGCCGATGCTGTTGTTATATCTACGTTATTTGCAGATAGAGAACGGTAAGTGTACTAAAAAGCTAAATTAACTTAACTGCTATTTTTAACTTGTGTTCTTCATCACAGGTGTCTGTATTGCTATAGCAGTATTTGAATGGGGTTTATGTCACGTTAAATGTAGGAACGACCGAAAACGAGACAGTTGTTAGCTACAATATGCTGTTGATCGAATACAGAGTTACTCATGTATAAACATTATAGGCCTAATGAAATTTATATATTGCAATTTTTCTTTAGGTGAAGCTAGGCGACAAGGAAGTAGATGTGATGAAAGGGTTTGCACTCTATCTGCAGACCGAGCTAGCAAACCCAGTTTACTCACCAGATGTCTCTGCGCGCACCAACATGATTGACTTCACTGTCACTATGAAGGGACTAGAGGACCAGCTTCTTGGAGTTGTAATTCTTACGGAAAAACAGGTTTGTTGGATGTGATGTCAGGTGGAGGTGACTTTATTCCTCGGGATTTCAAGACAGGGTTGCTTACATGAGTAAACTGCATGTTAATAATAGATGTTCGTCATTAACAGGAGCTTGAGGCTGAGCGAAACCAGCTGCTGATACAGATAGCAGCAAATAGAAGACGAATGCAAGAACTAGAGGACACTCTCCTGCATAGGTGGGCACCAATCTGCAGCTCAGCTGTTTATAGCCATTGGCGTTTTTACGGCTACACGGGCCTTTGACTTACTTCACTACTATTTAATAGTATTTTATCTGCATTCGCTTACAAAAGCAACGCGTCACTTAGATGTGCTAGATGTGTCACTAGAATTCTTAAATTAATGAGTATGCTAGCGATATTAGTTAGAGTAGTCCAATACCCGCAGGCTCTCCACAGTCGAGGGATCTTTGATCGACGACCAGCAGGTGGTAAGTGTGCTGAAGAGCACCAAGCAGATGGCACTCGAGGTTCAGGAGAAACTGAATGTGGCAGCGGAGACGGAAGCTAAGATCAATGCTGCTAGAGAAGAGTATAGAGCAGGTAAGGAGTAGTAATGTAGGCATCCCGCTAGTCTCGTTAGACCATGGATTGAACAGCCGTTTTTATATGTACAATATTTTGTATGGCTATAAAGGCCAATTCGGGAAATACAAAGATTGTCACAGTCGACGCTCTAGACGGCACTAGTGCTGGCACTGCTGTTTTTACTACATATAGCGATATGACTATTTGTCCGTAGTTGCCACAAGAGGAAGCATCTTGTACTTTCTCATCACAGAGATGAGTATGGTCAACATCATGTACCAAACGTCACTTAAACAGTTCCTAGTTTTGTTTAACGAGTCAATGGCCAAGTCGGCGAAGACCGCTGTTCCGAGCAAGCGCATTGGCAACATTATTGACTACATGACATTTAGAGTAAGTTTTGCGCGATGGATTTAGTATGTTTTGAGCCTTTCGCTTGGCATAATGGTGACAGCAACCTGGTTTATAGTGAGTTTATCGCTAACCCAAACACGCAAACATAAAAATAGAACATGCGAAAGTCACGAAACCCATTAATGAGAAAATACTCAAACTATATAATTAACATGTTCAGCACTAAGAGTAGAGTCAATAATACCGCCACATATTGGTCATTTTGCCATGCAGGTGTTTAAGTACGTAACCCAGGGCCTTTACGAGAATGACAAGTTTCTCTTCACGCTGTTGCTTGCCATCAAGATCAACTTGACGATGGGCACCATCAGCGAGAAAGAGTTTCAGACGTTCATCAAAGGTACGGACGCCATTGTCATCTTTCGATGGTAATCATGCGGTCGGACGTAACACTATAATTAGTCGCTGCTGCAGCACTTAGAGCGGTGTGCATGTAGTACTTTTGCAACCGTAATCTTTGGACTGTTTAATCGAGGCCGTGTTTTGCATGCGCGTATTTGTCAATGAATATGTGCATTACACGATGATGTTTATAGGTGGCGCCGCCTTAGACATGAACTCCGCGGAGCCGAAGCCTAAAAAGTGGATACCAGATATTACCTGGTTGAATCTGGTGCAACTAAGTAATCTCAAACAGTTTCAAAATATACTGGATCAGGTATGAGTTCCTTTACCTAGATTAGATTTGCTGGATTTGTATTTAATACGTGCATCTTACAATAGTGCCATTGCCAGACTTGTCTGCTTGCAAGAGAGGCATAGTAATGATGATACAGCCTGGGTGTGGTGCCTTGGCTCAAGAGGAAGAGTAGTTACCGACAGTTCTATATTACAGAATACACGTCGTCGTGCTAGTCAACACGAAGTAGAAGCTGCGTATAATAGTGATTGTGAAATGTCCTCGTCATTAATTCCATCAAGTACTTTCTATGGGTCGCCCAAATAATTATACTAACTCGTGTGTAATAAATATAGAGTGTATATAATTGGTACTGAACGGCCAGCTAATAATAAAACATGCACCGAGACCGCCACCTCCTGGGTTGCAGTAGGCCTACACGACGTGACGTGACGCGACGCGACGCGACGTAATGCAACGCAAATACGCAATGCAACGTAACGCAATGCAACGCTATGCGTACGCAGCTACGTACGCAGCTACGTGGTATGCGTACGCAGCTAGATTGGATACGAACGTAATGCAATGCAACGTAGTGCAACGTAGTGCAACGTAGTGCAACGTAACATAAAGTAACGTAGCGTGGCATAGCATAACGTGACGTATCGTAGCGTGACACTCTCGCTCGGGCTCAATTCACGGAGTATCCGGTGTACGTTGTACGAAGGGGCAGCTGCATGCATTTTGCTGTGACGCAAGCATTGCTGTGACGTTAACAGTTCTTCGTGCGGCGGTAGGTGACGAGGAATGACAAGGCGTGGAAGACGTGGTACGACGAGGATGCACCAGAGGCTTGCACGATCCCTGACGGCTATTCCGCCTCGCTGCTGCCCTTCAGTCGGCTGCTGCTTGTACGCAGCTGGTGTCCCGACCGCACAATTGCGCAGTCTAGGAGTTACGTAGCCAGCGCCATCGGCAATAAGGTAGCGCTGCCGCACCGGACCGTGACGTCAGCAACGTCGACGCGAGGCTTCTAAAAACGCGGGTTTTAAAAATCTGCGTTTGAAAAACGCGTGCATTTGTGTGTTCGTTTCTATTTGCTTGTGTACGCGCATAACCCGGGTTATTTTACGCGGAGGTATTCGCATAATACCGATTAGTTCACCTTGAGTCAAAGGTCAGTCAGTGGTCAAGGGTGTGGATTTAAGAGCGGATAGACTGGTCTGTCAGTTGACAACTTTCCCAGCTGATGGCTGGTGTTCATCGGTTGTACGATATAATTATTATGTTATGTATATGTTATATATCGTTATATATATATATACAATGTTTGCGACGCGTGTACACATTGTTTTCATGTACTACACTTGTATTACATGCGTTGTGCATGTATACAATGTTTGTGACGCGTGTACACATTGTTTTCATGTACAAACTTGTATTACATTTATTGCACATGTATACAGTGTTTGCGACGTGCGTACACGTATATATATATATATATATATATATATATATATATCGTATACAATATTCTTGTTGGATAAGTGCGAGTTTTGACACGGTGACGCCCTTAAATCATCTAGATCACTGGGTCCTAGCTTACATTGATACATAACGACATTGACGAGGTGTCGTATGAGACGGTTTGATGAGGATCTAATATCTTAGTGCTAATATTTATTACATATGATATTACGTAATCGCGAATATGTTTTTAAACATGTATAATCACCCATACGCGCATTTTCGTATGTTCCCGGCACAGTACACGGAGAGTCTTTTTTTGAACCTGGCCGCTATTTTGGAAGAGTCGGACTGCAGGACGCCATTAGTCTGTCTGCTGTCTCAGGGCTCTGATCCTTCAGAGGCTATCGCACGTCTCGCAGCAAAATTCGAATTCGGTACGCAGTGATCTTTTAGTGGTTATTTATCAGTGATGGTAATAAATTCAAATATTTCCTTGGTAGATGAACTAATTTAATGGAGGAAGCTCACTGTCAGTTGGCCCTTATAATAATATTTAACTGCGCCGCTTGTTTTGAGAACAAGTTTTATGCTCCAGTTCAGATCGCAATCCCAATAATCATTCTTTACATAGATAACTGTAGCTAGAATGTTAAAAGAGAGTTATTGTGTTTGACAGTATCTCATCTATCTCTGATTAGCTTGTTCCTCGGTATCCATGGGACAAGGCCAAGAACTCCATGCACGCCGTCTTCTGGCTGAGAATATGCCAACTGGGGGTTGGATTTTGCTGCAAAACTGTCACCTGGGACTAGAATTCATGAGCGAATTGCTCGAAACGGTAATATACATTTGCGGTCAACATTTTCAGGAGATCACATATAACGGTGTGGAACTAATAATTTCTTACCAATGAAGGACGTTTATATACACATTAAATGACCAAACGTAGTTTTGATATACGAAATTGGAAGGTAGGAAGCCTTTGTATAAGGACCTCGTGATCACAATCGCTGGGCGGAAATAATTTCGGGATAGGACCTGGAATTGAAGCGATGGTTAGATGTTTTGGGGAAATTAGTAATGATTCTTTCTGTTTATTGAAGCTCTCGACTACCGCAACCGTCCATGAGACATTTCGCTGCTGGATGACCACCGAGATGCATCCAAAGTTTCCTATCACTATGCTGCAGGCTAGCATCAAATTTACGAACGATCCTCCTATGGGAATCAAAGCCAGCCTGAAGCGAACCTTTGCTCAAATATCACAGGTTTGAACAAAAACATCTTCCGGATTGTGATACTCAGCATAATGCTGAGCACATTTAACACGTGACATAACTCGATATATGTTACACGAATCAAAGCATTTCACGTTACAGCAGGCGCTGTACTGTTGGACATATTCCTCGTGTTTTTTTCACTTATAAAAATGCCCGTCTAACCAGTAGGCCTATAGAAGTTGACAGGGGCACCGTACATGTAACCCAACGCTAGCGACTACATGGTGGAAGTGACGACTGACCGATGAATGAGTGACATGGTTTCCAGCGACGGGTTCCCATATTGCCTGTAAACGTCATTGTTCCAGGACCAGTTGGAGGCCAACAGCGCCGCCCAGTGGAGGCCTATGCTATATACAGTGGCCTTCCTTCACGCCGTCGTGCAGGAGCGACGTAAGTTCGGTCCGCTTGGCTGGAACATACCCTACGAGTTCAACAACTCGGATTTTACATCTACTGTGCAGTTCATACAGAACCACCTCGAGGAGGTTAGCCCGAAGAAGGTGAGTGAGTGCGTGGGAAGGGCGGATGTGCATTTTATGCGTTAAATTATGGTAAGACAATCAGCGGGTTTATTTAAAGTAAAACAGTCTCGTTTCGCCATGCATCGTTTGACTATTTCCGCCTGAGAGGCGAAGAACCTCTCGTCGAAGCTTAAAAATGTTCACGCGATTTCTTTGAGGTTCCTACCAAAAAACAGGCGCAATCGCACTAATTTCAATTCTCGCCCTTGACGTCGCGCTAAATATAAGAAATGGTAATGAACAATCAGTAACTCAACACCGTACCTTGTTTTAACGCGTTACATGTCTGCACACTGCACAGTTATCAACCTGGATTAAACTTCCAAATAGACGCTCTAATGTAGACGTTCCATTGCAACCTGACAGAAGACGTGATTTTTTACAGGGAATCTCCTGGGCGACAGTGCGCTACATGATTGGTGAGGTGCAGTACGGAGGAAGAGTGACCGACGACTTCGACAAGCGACTCATCAACACCTTTGCACGCGTCTGGTTCAGTGACAGCATGTTCGCGAAGGAATTCGAGTTTCACGAAGGTGTGTAGGCGATTGTAGTATCGATGCGCAAAATAGCCGAGTGGCATTGCAACAGAGATGTAGTCTTTAGGTCGTTGAACATAATGCATGTTGGATATAGCTATAATAATTTTCCGTAGACTTTATTATACCTCGTTACAAGCGGTATTCACATCAAACGTAGGTCTCTTTGTGCACTCTTCCATTTGTACGCATCCATATTGATATGCCATCACATCAAATACCAACCAGGGCTAAAACCGATTTAGCACTTACAAACTCCCGTTTCTGCTGGGATTTGAGAGCGTATGTTTCTTCTCTATCACGCGTCATAAGGCCTTACTTATTACTGCACGGGTTACACAAGGGTAGTGATTGCCAATACAGCAATCGGGCTTTTAATTGCGATGTGATGTTGTTTTCAGGCTACCAGGTCATTGCATCCACGAACATCGAGCAGCTGCGGCTGAGCATTGAGAAACTACCTTCAATGGATTCACCGGAGGTGTTCCGGCTGCACCCCAATGCCAACATTGCGTATGTTCCCTGCCGACGACGTGGCCCTTCATCAGAACTCTGCAAAGTTTATAACGTGTTCATTACCATCCTCGTATGCGCGGCCGTATTTCTTCTAAGCACAATGCACTGACATGCAACATACATGGCTGCTTTCTACGCATTTTTTTTCAATGGGGAGGAAAGCTTGATGCAACAGTTTCGCGCCACTAAACTCTGTACGATGCACGTGTTTTCAGCTACCAGACGAATAGGGCCAATAAGATTTTCAGCACCATATTGAATATTCAACCAAAGGACGTGGTCGTCGGTCAGGGAGACACCAGGGAAATGATAGTGTACAAGATAGTCACCGATATGTTGCAGAAGCTACCGCACGACTACCAGCCACATCATGTAAGTACACGATTAAAATTCTACATTATATTTATCCTTCGCAAGTCGTAAATCTGGTGGCGTATTATATTAACTACACGTGAAGTAACGTTTCGAGGTTATAGGGTGCCGATACGGGCACAGTGTAGATTCGGCCTGTTTCATCGGCAAGGGACATTCGCTGTCCTATTGAAATTTATTCGAGTATACCTTTTCTTCCGGGCATCCGCTCTAACAGATATTTGCTCACCTTTAGAGCTGCATTATTACTCGAAGGCATGTTTACCATATTGCGTTGCGCTAAAGGACTTTTAATGTACGCGTGCTCAGGTAAAAGAGCGTCTGAATAAGATGGGGGCACTGTCGTCTATGACCATCTTCCTGCGGCAGGAGATTGACTGCATGCAGAAGGTGATTAGTACAGTGCGCGCCACACTATGCGACCTCAGGCTTGCCATCGACGGCACCATCGTAATGAGTGACAGTCTTCGTGGTGCGGTCGACAGTCTCAGCAACGCCATGATCCCAGACATCTGGCTTAGGGTGAGTTGCCGTACGTGGCGTCGGAATACACCCAACATGTTCTGATCGGTTTGTAACAGAAATAATAATTCCATACAAAAATACATCAATTGACAAATCTTTATATGCATAAATTCAGTGCAATTTAAACTATTATCGATCAATTTATTTATTTATATTATATATATATATATATATATATGTGTGTGTGTGTGTGTTGTGTTGTGTGTGTGTGTGTGTGTGTGTGTTGTGTGTGTGTGTGTGTGTGTGTACGTGCGTACGTGGCGTGGCTGCGTGCGTGCGTGCCGTGCGTGCGTGCGTGCGTGCGGGTTTGTGGACATGTAATAAAATACAGGATAGTGGTGTGGTGATTCAGACTTGAGCTTCGCTGTCTGATTGGGGGATAATGGCATATAGTCATCGGTGATTCCTTATTCAAGTTTATTCCATATGTGAATTCTATATGTGATATGAAGTTTACTAAACGGTTGCCTTGATTCGTTAGGTTTCCTGGGAGTCTGCTACCCTGGGATTCTGGTTTATGGAATTAATTGAGCGCAACATGCAACTAACAACCTGGCTCGATCACGGCAGACCAAAATGTTTCTGGATGTCTGGTTTCTTTAACCCTCAGGTATATATAAATAGAGAGAGGTTAGATTCGGCGCGTCTCCACGCTTGTAAGCGAGTCTTGTAAACATATAGAAGGCATAAGCGTTATGAAAAAAACCGAATGACTAAACGCAGCTTTCTTGCTTAAACGCGACAGTGATTGTAAGGCGTATCTTTTGTACACAGGGCTTCCTCACGGCCATGAGACAGGAGATCACCAGAGCTCATAAAGGCTGGTCTCTTGACAAGGTCGTTCTACAGAACGAGGTTACTAAGTGCATGCGAGAGGACATCACGGCGCCCCCGGCAGAAGGCAAATTACTCTCGTCTTCGTCGTCTTTCATACTCTCACTCCTGTCTAAACACGGCGGAGTTAGAAATTTTATCGCATGGTTTGGACACTCTGTGATATAAATGAAATGTATGCATAATTATGTATGTAAGAAAAATATTTAAATAGGTAATGATAAATTTTTATTTTTGACAGGTGTTTACATCTCGGGTTTGCACCTAGATGGGGCCTCATGGGACCGCCGCTCTAGCAGGCTCGCCGAACCGATTCCCAAGGTTCTGTTCACGCCGATGCCCGTAGTGCGCATGTATGCAGACGTCGTCGACTCGACTACAGGCAGTCAGCAGTTCTACGAGTGCCCCGTCTACAAGAAGCCTAGTCGCACCGGCCTTAACTACATCGCCACGCTCGCGCTCAGCGCAGGAGGAATGTCACCCGATCACTGGTGCCTGCGAGGCGTCGCGTTGCTGTGCGACGTGCACACATAGACCGTGCTGCCACCTGCTTTCTAATAATAATGAAAGTCTAGATGTTATCTGTTTTTTTTTAACTCAATGGTAGTGTTCTAGCAATCGCGTGATGATGTGTTCTTGCATATCTATGTGAAGCATTCTGCACAGAGGCTCTACATGTACTACGAATCTCGATCATGTGGACGATTAACTCAAATCTCATGTACAGTTTAGTTGATATCTATTGACTGGGAACGAACCTTCTATGGGCCGCTCGAGTTGCGTGTTTTAAACTTATCCAACTGTGATGGCCAAGATGTTACTAAATTTTGGGTTTGGAAAGGTTCTATGGAATTATCAAAAACCCCTCCCCCCCCCACACACACACACTCCGCCTAAAGATACTTTCAATGAAACTAAAACGAAATGTATATATAAGAAATAAAGCTGGTTTTACCTGTATTCGGTAAAACAAAATCCAACGTTTTAATTGTCTACATATATACAGATGTCTACATGTTTTAATCGGTGCAACGAAAACTAGCCCCCTTTTCCCTGCATAAGATTTATCAAGGATGACGCCATGCTGGTGTTACCCGGGGTCGGGTGGCTGGATCTGCAAGGATGGAGAAGGCGTAAATGATAAATTCAGACGACGAAATCCGGAAACGAAAAGGGCTTATTGCCACAAAATGGCGAAATGCGATGAACCTATCCAAGAATGCACCGCGCCGCGCGAGACTATTGTCTTTACCACATTAAGACAATAGGCTGTTCCACATTTTGAGTGACCCCTGTTTTTTCCAAAATTTCTATTACGTCACACCCCCCCCCTTTTAAAAATGTCGTCCCAGACATTGAGCAACACCAAGGACACCCAAGTTCACATGATCATCTCTCAGCCACGCATATGCACAAGTTAGAAGCTAAGGTAAACACCTACAGTCTAAGAATTTCCCATTCTTTAGACCAGACAGTAGAACATGATGCTCAAGTGGCCATCCTGAACATGTATTTGTCAACAAGACAACTGCTATGCTTCCAACAATGCTTCCCCAAGGAATAACGTAGAAAAGTGTGTTGCGACTTCAATGTCTCAAGGTGATGTCTACTCAACATACAGACTCCTTGCAGTTTGGATCAAAACAGTTACCTCCACCATGGAACTCAAAGAATGAGCTAGTTCTTCCATCAACCAAGTAAGTAACGCAAATATGAAGACAACCTTTGTCTCCAACACTTGAAAAAATAACGTAAATCTCCTGTCTAACTAGGGTTATTCTCTAAAATTGCGGGAAAGTAAACCGTCTTCCTGTCCTCATCTCCCAATCGCAATACCGTCTAGTAACCTGTCTGTCCCAAAGGCGGAGGTCCCAGATAAGGGTTGTGGCCATACACCATCTGATTGTTCCAAGGCCAATACATTGGAGGATAAGGAGGTCCCACACCTTGCACTGGCCAGACCTGTGGTTGCTGATAAGACGGATTCCCCAGCCCATCGTACGTCAGATCCTGGGCGGTCTCCGTGTTCTCTGTCGTCTCACCACATCTCGTCCCTCCAACTCACCGGAGTCCTTCGATTCCGCGGATTCTAGAAGCTGATCCTCTGTGGTTCCACTGTCCCCAGATTGTCCTTCTGGAGGAATTTCTGCAACCTCTCCCTCTGGCGTTTTATTCTGTCTCCGGCCTGTCCTGGGCAGCTTCCATATCCTGTCGAACCTTTGTCTCCAGACTGACTTCTGTCCCAGGCTGTGGATTAAACCAAATCTCTATAGCCTCACTTGAGTCACTGTCCAACTCCCCCAAACCTTGTCCTACTGGTCTCTTGTCTTTCTGTGCTGATCGATTACCATCTGACTCCCGTCTAGTCCGTCGTCTCTTTGGTTTAGTCACCTCCTTCTCGACTTTGTCCACTGGTAGCCCATCACACTGAAACAAAAGGTTCCTATGGAGGACACGAGTACATCCGACTCCACTTCCTGGCCTAACTTCATAAACGAGCGCGTCATCGGAGATTCTCTTCACCACCACATGAATCTTCTCTTCCCAATAGTATCTTAGTTTTCCCGGTCCTTCTCCCTCCAACAGGTTCTGTACTAAAACCCTGTCTCCAGTTTGCAATGCTTAACTCCTGAACCCCTTGTCATACTGCCGTTTTGACTTGTCTGTCGCCTTTGACAAATTATCTTGTGCCATCCTATACGCCTCCTGCATCCCTTCTAGCCACTGTTCAGCCGTCCCTCTACCCTGGCAGTCCAAACCAAATACCAAATCGACGGATAACCTTGGCGAACGATTGTACAGCAACCTAAAAGGAGAAAATCCTGTTGCCTCGTGTCTGATGCAATTGTAAGCGTGGACCAACCGATTAATCTGAGCATTCCAGTCTGCTTTCTGCTTCTTGACTAACGTCCTGAGCATCCCCAACAAGGTTCGAGTCATTCTTTTACATTTACCATTCCCCTCGGGTGGTAGGGCGTCGTCCTTGAGTGAGCCACTCAACACTTCTGTTACAGTTTGGTAAAGAGAGCATTTTCAAACTCCCCATCTTGGTCATGGTGAATCCTAGCAGGACAACCAAATCTTAGAATAAAGTTGTTAAACATTTTGTCCGCTGCAGTATTTCCGGCCTTGTTGCGAGTAGGATATGCCTAGGCAAACCGAGTAAAATGGTCAATGACCACTAGGATGTACTCAAAACCTGCCTTAGCTTTTTTCAGGTGAAAAAAGTCTATACGAACCAACTCAAGTGGAAATGTGGCTTTGATGGGTTTCAGCTCGGCCCATGTGTTTTACATGCGGCTGCTTGTCTTTCAGACACCTACAGACTTTGGTGACGTAGTTTGTTACATCCCGCGCCATCTCAGGCCAGTGAAATCGATCCCGTATCAGGCTTATGACTCTCTCTGGTCCAGGGTGTCCCATATTTTCATGCAGTTTCTGTAACACCAATTTTCGATATTGAGGTGGAATACATAACTGAGTGACCTTGGATCCGTCCGCCAAGTTACACGTTTGCTGTGAAATCCCGTCCTCGTCTTGCTTCAAGGGACTCCAGTCACGCAACCAAGTCCGGTCCAGTGGCGATTCCTGCCTCAACTGTCTCACTGTAGGTTGGATTCTTTCTATGCACCATTCTTTGACTTTCTTCAGAGTTGGGTCCGCATCCTGGGCCTACTTGATGTCCCCCTTGCTTAAAGAATCAATTGGCGCCATACTCATCTCCGTCCCCTCAGTCACCGGCAGAAATTGGCAACTCACCCGGCCAGGTCAACAATTCCCGGTCCACCCTTTATGGCTCTCACATGTTACTGATCAGCCTTCCTGGTACAGCGCGGCATATAGTCCTCAACGTCCAAGGGCAGCCTTGATAACGCGTCAGCATCGGTGTTTTTCGATCCTGGCTTATAAAACAAATTCAGTTTAAAGTCAGCCAAATTGGCAACCCATCTTTGGCACGCAGCATCCAGCTTCGTGGAAGTTAGCACGTAGGTTAGCGGATTGTGGTCTGTATATACATCCGTATATGGCGCATAATACACGTAGTCCCTAAATCTCTCACAGACAGCCCATTTGAGCGCTAGGAATTCTAGCTTGCCGGAATGCAAGAAGTACCTTTTCTCGGCCGGAGACAACGTACGCGAGGCTAACGCAATCACCACCAACCTCTCGTTTCGCCGCTGATAAGGGATGGCTCCCAACCCCTCAGATGATGCATCTGTATGTAAAATAAATAGACTACTGAAATCTGGAAAAGCCAAAACCTGGAGACTAGTTAAGACATCAACCAATTCCTCGAGCCTAGCCTGATGAAGACCAGTCCAATTTACCAACTGTAGTGACGGTGCTTGCCCCTGTTTACTCCTACCCTTCTGTTTTCCTTTCTTGGCCTGCTTCAATTTCTCCTTGGTGGTCAACAACTCGTACAAAGGTTTCGCTCTCTTGCTCAAATCAGGAATATACTTTCTAAAATATCCTAGCAGTCCTACCAACCAGGCGTACTTCACCCACAGTCTTTGGTGTTTTTGTCTTCAGTGCCAAAACAGCTTTTAGGTCCGCCGGATCCATCATGGTGCCATTTTCGCCCACTATTTGTCCCAAAAACCTAACTTTTTTACGAGACAGTACACACTTCCGGGGTTTTAACTTTATGCCCTTGCTGCACAACCGTTTTAGTACTGCCCGAACATTTTCCAAATGCGATTTGAAGTCTGTCGAGTAAACAAGTACGTCATCAAGGTAAGGGATGCATGTTTTGTCGCGAAGATCCCATAATACTTCTTCCATAAACGACTGGAATGCTCATGGGCACTGACTAAGGCCAAAAGAAATCCTAACCCACTCATATAGGGCCCATGGTGTGATAAATTAAACGCGGTAAGAGGCCAACATTCCAGCTTAACAAACCCCTGATGGTAGGCCTTTCTTTGGTCGAGGCATGAAAACCAAGAGTTCCCCATCAACCTGTCAAGAGTGTCCTGAATTCTTGGAATCGGTCTTTGGCTAGCCAATGTTTTCGCATTCAACGCGCGTTAATCTATACAGAGGCGCAATGAATCGTCTTTCTTCCGAACCGCAACCATGGGTGAGGTGTAGTTGGAGTCCGACCTTTTGATCCAGTCCTTATTTAAAAGATCGAGAATGTAATCCTTTACCTCAGTGTAGAGCGGCGGGGTAATGACCGGTATGGTTGTTGCACTGGCTCATCATCTAACAGTTTGAGGTCTAATTGGAGGTCAGGCGCACAACCAACGTCGTCATTATCACGTGCGAAGGCTTGCCATTCTTTCCGAAGTACCTGTCTAACTTCCTGTACTTGCTCTGGGGTTAAAAGCTCGTCATCGAGTTCAATCTCTGGGTCCCACTGGCCATCTCCATCTGCTATCGTCTCCTCATGGGCTTGATCTACACGAGCATGGCAAACATGCTGACCTCCGCTCTTCTTACCCATCTCACCATTAGACTCAGTCACATATGTCTCGTGCGGTCGCAAGGTTACAACTGATTTGACTGCAATGAGATGCCCCAAACAAGAACCCTTCCTAATGACAAGAGGAGAATTAGAAGTGTTTTTCACCGGCACATTGAAGGAACAGACTGACCTTTGTGGCAACCTCACCAATGACTCTGGGATCTAAACATACTTACGATCTCCCAATTCCCCGAGTGTAAAGATTGCAATTTTAGCCTCAGAACTACTACCAGATCTCACGAAATATTTCAGAATCTCACATGCCCCTGGATTTACCAGTGTTCCGTCTACCCGCACGCGCAACACCAACCTCTCTATCCTGCTCTTTCTGGACCAAAGTTTTCGAAACGTTTGGTTGACCCTGGAAAAGAGAACTAATATTGCATGCAGGGTTATTATTTAACAGGGGAGGAATGACATTAAAACCCACAACTGGGTGTGATATTGGAGCCGAAGTTACCACAAATGGGACTGGGCGCCCTTCCCCTTCTGTTATCTTTAAGTCTAATTCCAGTCAGCCAAGCCCCCCAGTCCATCAGCCCCCCCACTTGCAGAAGTGATGACCAGATCTTGGTCGAACAGTTCCTGGCGTGCTCGTACACGTTTCTCTGGAACATTTTTCTTAAGCCAGTCACTTTTAACTAAGCTCACCTGTGTACCCGTATCTGATAATACCTCATATTTACAACCATCTAATGCAACAGAAATGATACACTGCTCCCCCTCCAAACTGACCAATTTGTTTCTTCCCTTCCGAGAAATACCATAAAACGAACCCCTTAGTTCATCAATGCTAGGTTTACCATGTCCCCTTTTGTGATTTTCTGATGTTCGTATCGCCTCACACCAAACTTTATGTTGTTTCCAATGTTCACTCTGACATATTTTTGAACAGTAAGTTCCGGCACTGGACAGAAATGCTTTCTACCTCTTGTGGGGTTTTTATTCCCAGGGTCACATCACCCCCTGCACATGTGACCGTCTCTAGTTTTCCGGCATCTTGCACTCCCATAGCCGATGTCCCTCCTTACCGCACTTGAAGCAATGGGTACAACGTACGTTTAGTAGAGTTAATTGCTCGGCACCCCTCACACTGTCCTTGTGTTCGTTTTACGGCGCGGTAAGAACGAAAATAAGCAGGTTAAATAACGTTAAAAGTAGAAGAAGAATAAAATCTTATCTAGATGCTTCACTTTGCTCGCAGCATCGCGCCACAATTCCCAGCTATGCTACTGTATGGGCAAATGGCGCTGCAACGTCGGTCGCCGTTGACTGCCAAAATCATATTCTTCGGCTGTTCTTATACGCTCAAAGTGGATCCGGGCAGACTGACAGCACGTGTGCATGGTAAAATCTGATCTACATGCTTCACTTCGCTCGCAGCATCGCGCCACGATTCCCAGCTATACTAATGTATGGGCAAATGGCGCTGCAACGTCTGTCGCCGTTGACTGCCTAGATAATATTCTTCGGCCGTTCTTATACGTTCAAAGTGGAGCCGGGCAAGCTGACAGCACGCGTGCATGATAAAATCTGATCTACATGCTTCACTTCGCTCGCAGCATCGCACCACGATTCCCAGCTGTGCTAATGTATGGTCAAATGGCGCTGCAACGTCGGTCGCCGTTGACTGCCAAGATAATATTCTTCGGCCGTTCTTATACGTTTAAGGTGGAGCTGGGCAGGCTGACAGCACGTGTGCATGGTAAAATCTGATCTACATGCTTCACTTCGCTTGCAGCATCGTGCCACGATTCCCAGCTATATGCTAATGTATGCACTTGGTAAAATCCGATCTAAAATATTCACTTTGCTTGCAGCTCTCAAGGCTAGTTGATATGCGCGGAAGTACCCACCCACGGCGCGGAAGGCCACCGTTCTTTCACGTCATCGTTATTCAATTTTGCTTTCGTGTGCGATGCAATCCAAACAAAAATATACCCAACAATAAAATCTGTTGTCGCCATATGCATTTTACGAATTCTTCAAGTATGCTCACTTTCATAATAGGCTTCAAATTTGTACGAACCAATTTTTCACAAGTAAATTTGGATCGAAAATGCTGACATTATAATGCTGTTTAGCACAATGATAATAATATTAACAACAAATCAACTATAGACACATAATGATTGTAATTATAATTCAATTTATTTTAACAGTTTCCTATTGTTAAAGCTTATTTTGCTGTAATGTAATTGAGAATACCCTGAAATTCGCCGCAGAAAATTACCAAATGGCTGCCGTTTCTAGTTTGTGACATGATGCAACGTTGAAACCAGCGTCCATTATGCAGATTGTCCTTAAATGTAGACCAGGTGTTCCACCAAAGCGGAATTGGAAATTGGAAGTAGGAGATTGGAAATAATTGGAGCTACTTAGGAAGTTTTGCGAGAGACGATATGAGCGCGAGAGTTTCTTTCGTGGCCTCGCGTACGTTCCCCACTTGCGTTGCCATTAGGCCTACTGGATATCAGTAGCGAACAGCATGTGACATCGGTCGGTAGCGAACGATCGTCTGTATCCAGCAATGAAAACTCAACCGCTGCTCGTCGCTGAACCAGTCGCTGGCGCTGGCCACTGCCAGCAGCATGAGCACCTGTTTCTCTCTCTGCTCTCCGGCGCGGCCGAATGTCTCGTAGCTCCTGCGCACGCAGTCGAACACGCGGTCCGCGTCGACATACGCTGGCTTGTTCAGCAGGAATCGCGATATGAGATGCGACAGCGTTGGCAGCGACTGCGGCGTCGAGCCGTACTGGTAGTCGGCGTCGAAGTAGGGCGGCTGACCGGAGTGCCGACACTCGCGCGCCGCGCTGCCGCCGCGTAGCTCCTCCAGCGCGTCTGCGCGCCGCTGCAGCTCCCTCTGGAGGCGCTTGCACTTCAGCTGCTCCAGGTCAAGCTCTCTGCGCACGCGCTTCGACTGCATCTCGAGAGAGGCGACGCGCATGAGCATGCGGGAGAATCTCTCCTCGCTGTCGCCGGACGAGACGGGCCGCCCCTCCTCGCCGCGCGCAGGCGTCTGCTGAGCCTCGCACTCCGACCCGTGCGAGCTCAGCTCGTAGCGCGCCATCTGCAGGCCGCAGTGGGCGCACTGCGCCGGCGCGTAACCACAGACGCTCCTGTGCGCCGCCATGTTTTCGAGCTTCGTCACGATCTTGCAGCTGCGCTCGCTGTTCTCGCACTCGACCGTCATGGCGCCGATGAGGTTGCGGAGCGCCAGCACGGGCCGGGCGTCCCCGCACGTCACCGCCGCGCGACACTCGGGGCACGTGCGCGTGTTCTCGCGCGACAGCCACGTCTGCAGGCACTGCGCACAGTAAGCGTGGCCGCAAGGGGTCAGCACCGCCTCGTCGAACACGCCCCCGCAGATTGCACAGATGAGGTTCGGGTCAACGTTACCGAGGAATCGGTGAACACCGTGACCCATGCCGACGCTGTCCTTATATATGCCGACGAGAGATGGCCGCCTTGCTGTGCTTCCTCTTTATTATCTTCCTTTTGCTCTTCTTCCTACACGTAGCGAGGAAAACAGATCGAACGGCAATTGCCAGGTTTGGGTATAATATTTTAAAGGTCACATTTTCTAATTACGAACGTGCCGTAAAACCTGAGTTTATGGCGTAAAATGTATTCATGTAGACGTAGGTAAGCTCGGATTGCTATTAATCAGGCATGTTCTCTCTATGATCTGGCTATAGGCCTAGTTATAGTTTGCCAATAGTCATGCGACCTTAGCCACGATTTTCACAGCGAATTCCGCGTTAGAATATAAATGGTGGTGGTAGCTGTACAATTTTGTGCATGAACAGCAGCGCCTTAATATTTATGTATAATAGGTTTCACGGAATAGTTAATTACACGGACACATAACTTTCTATCACACATACATATATACGCCGGCTTCATATCGTTACCGACACCACTTTCAATATTGCCAATGATATTTACCGTTTTGTAGACCCCAGTATATCGTACGTCTGATCACGTCACTATAGTAGCCCGACTACTCAGCCCGCGACGGATGCAAGGCGCATAACCTGTAACGCCACGGCTACGGAACCAGAATAGCATCTTAATAAAATATTTACAGCTTCAGCTCCGTTTGATTAGTTAATTGAGCGCTGCGACTACACAGTACCCAAAATGGTCCGTTCTTCTTGCTATCAATGTATGAGGGATGGCCGTATCATGAATTATGCGACCAATGATTTAATTAGTGTTAATAACTGTAGACACAGTACGCGCGGTCATGCATGCACACATGACCGGTGCTTGCACTGAAGATGCTTTCTCTGTTAGATGCCTGTAGTGTAATTACTAGAAGAAAATAGACCTTAGAATTACGATTTTGAAAAAAAAACGTGTTTCATGGTTAGTTATAATTATTTTAATTTACGACGGTATTTTATAAACTGAATTATTAGTTGACGTATACACACGCACGCACGTATATATATATTATATATATATATATATATATATATATATATATATATATATACAAACGCGCGTGCGTGATTAGGGCCTATATGTGGCGTAGTCAATGTGCACATAAATGTCTGCATGTGATGCGGGTTGCTTGTGCATCATTGCTCCCATCGCTATCTTTCCACAACCTTGTTTCACATTGTATTGTGATATACGATTCAAAGCGGCTTACGATGGTAGTTTGTATTTTATTACTATGTAGCTCATCCAGTTACGCGCTTTTGTTTTTTTTATAAAGTTTGTTTTTTGTTTTTAAACTAAGTACACATAGGTAATATTCATTTATATATAGATAGATTTTATATATAATAAAATACATTATTATTTATTATATTTATATTTATATTTTTTTTCGTTTTTTTTTATCGCGCCAGAGCTTACCAACAGATTACATTTAATTTTCGGACAATTTCAAGCATACAACAATATTTTACTCCTAGAATTTAAATACATTATAATCTCTGTATTATTTTCCCATCAATAAATATATTAAAACTAAATAATAAAACGCACATTTCAAGTTCTATTAACGCTTGTCAAACAGTGCCTCTGCCGCCTCGTCACGTCTAAATCCGGCTCTGTATATATATACCACGTCATTATAAAACACATGGCAAAATGGCAAAAATATGTGTAATCTATAAAGACGGAGACAATATGCATAGATAATATTACAACGTCATTTGAATTATAGAAAATCGGTTTGAAGTCTTCCAGAGCCAATGAATATCCAGAGGCCACATAATAGAAATATAACCCGTTCAGTTATTTACCACTGGATTTTTCATATCACCAACCAAAGCGCATGATGTGATGGACGTCTAAAAAGTTGAAAATGCGCAACCCTTTAGCTGTCCACGACCCTGTAATACTCTTCTCGCGTCATTTTCCGTCGCCTGCTTCCTCCGTACTTCACTGGCCATCGGATGCACTTTTGCAGAAATATTCCGAGAGCAAACGCCGCAAAGATTGCGATAGATGTCCCGAAGAAGATGCCGTACCCCTTGCTACTTGACATGTTGCTACTCGTTACCTTAGCCGCTACTGTGAACAAGTCGTCAATAGACTTCAAGCGTAACATCCACAGGTCGTCCAACAACGCATCTCCGTCTCCATCAGAATTACCAACGCCCCCTAAAAGCATCATGTCCCCGTCATGGGTCCAGGTTGCTCCGCGCGCCCGCGGACCAGGAAAGTTAAAGATGGACGTTACATTACGCTGTCCATATTGCACCGTGCCCGTAGTAACTGGCACCATCCGTTGCCAGACTAGATCAGCAGTCTCAAATACCCAGATGTCACCGAGTAAGGGAGAACCTGCAGCGGTGAGGTCCTGTCCACCGTAAAGAAGAAGGTCGCCATTGTCCGTGACCCAGCCCATTGCGAACAGCCGCCTAGGAGGTTTATGGATGACCATTCCCACGTGGAGTGATAGCTCGCCATTTTGATTCATCTGTCGCAGTTGAACACTGGTAGTGTTCAAACTCCACAGCACAGCACTGGGACTGCTTCCTTCATAGATGAGCACTTCATTGCTCTTCTCCCACATCGTTGCACCGTTGGTGTTGACGAGCTCTTTGGTGGCGCCCATCTTAGTCCACCTGAGATTATCCAGCGAGAAAATCCACAAGTCGCTCAGTATCTCGCCGGCCGCGTTCTCACCGCCGTATATCCACATCTCGTCTTTCTTACACCACCACAGCAGCGATTGCCGAAGAGGTGGCTCTTCGTAGTGCATTTTCGGACCCGATGTGCTTACCGTTGTCCCTGATGACAATGGCTCTTTATCCCCAGTGTCATTTTCTGCTAATTCATCATCCTTCGGTTCCTTCTTGGCCGTTGCAGCAATCTTTTTATCACTCATCGTAGCATTCTCTCTGACTACGCTATCAGCAGGCTGCCAGCGTGCAGACGCCATATTGAAAATCCATGTGTGTGATGAATCGACCGTGGACGGAGTGAAGACAACAGTGCGACTGCCTGGCTTGACACACATTGCACTGTTAGCTGACGATGGTGGTGCCTCTACTTGGCTTCCAGACACGTTATGAGCATTTCCGGGATGCATCAGAACCCAACTGGAATTCTTGTAACGCCATAGATCGTTTGCATAAACGCTGGTGAAAGAATCTGGTGCCGAATTCACTTTACCTCCAAACATCCAAATTTCTTTGGACCCAACCCATACTGCAGCATCTGAACGACCACCTGGTTGTGGATTGTCGACAGAGGGAGCTGCATTCTGGGGTCCAGCTACTGAACCATCGAGCCATGTCCATTCTGCAACCGTGAAAGTAAGGCTGAATGGGTCGTTGTCGTATTAGGTTACTACATATATGTACCTGAGGTACATATATGATATATGTATACACAAACTTAATTGTACTACAGAAGTGTACCCTAACCCTAACCCTAACCCTAACCCTAAACACAGGGTACATATATGCTAAGAAGATACAGGTCTGGTATACATATACGTACCTCGGGTACATATATGTAGTACCTGATACGACTACGACCCTTTCAGCGAAAGTAAGCATAAAGTACGTAGTGTAATAAGGTTAACTGCGGATGTGAAATGGACTGAAAAATGCCTGTGTACGGTAAAATACTGTGTAACAGACAAACGTAATTTACATTTTATATCCATATAACGATAATACCGAACGCATAGACTATACTATAAATTAAATTTAGCAATATTTTCTAACACTGCGTAATTTTCACGCAACAACCCCAATCGGGCCTAGAACTAGAAGCAAATAAAACATTAATGCGTATAACAAGTTAACAACTTATGATTGGCTATATAATTATCAAGGTGCTCAACACAAATTGAAACGTATACTAGCAGATCAAAATAAATAAACAACGCGAAGATGTAATAGGTAATTATATATTCTTCTCATCCACACAAAATCTTGGTAAACCGGCACTATAAACTATAAACGTATTTGTTACACACACACGCCCACGCGCACGCGCGCGCACACGCACATGCACACACGCACGCACGCACGCACGCACGCACGCACGCACACACACACACACACACATATATATATATATATATATATATATATTATGCATGTCCATTGGCAAACGCATGCACATTTTTTTACTACACAAATGATTTATTGCGTTATCTACGGCCTAGTTAGCTACGGCCCTGAATATATTTCACCATACACTACTACTCACTCGCGTCACTATCGCTGACAATCACAACGAAAAATGGGAGATAATTTCATTAGGCGTTGCGGGGAATCGGGATGCTGAGACGAATGGCTTTCTGTTTATTATATAACGCAAGCTATGTTTTTTGTTTATACATTTTATAAAACCTATTCCTGAGTATGTTCGATTTTTAACATATAATTTTAACAAAACTTCATTATTAGCAGATAGCAGAAACGCGCATACAGACACGTTTAACACTTTAAGGATGTTTAAATATTTTCGCCTATAATTACTGAAATCAGCATTGGGATTAACAGTTTTCATATCTACCTATTCCTAAGTATATACTTACTTACTACAGATTTTCGCAATATTACATCTGAATATATTTCGTTTAGCATCATACGTTACTTCTCGTGTGTGACACAAGCACGGATCAACAGCAACGACAATTGTACGGAAACGGGATGTTTACAAGGTTTGGCTCGATCCCTCTTATCATTTGAGAAAGATAATGCGTTTTATATTCTTCATAGAACTCTATTTCCGAGTATGCCTTCTCAATTTCAAATGCATAATTACAACAGAATATGGTTTCTGTTAGCAGATAGTAGGCATGCGAACAGACACATGTGAATCTCTAATCTATCTCACGTGGAGAGGCTTGGAAGATTTACCAGCAGATCTTATAATTAACGACATCGACCATCACCATTTTTTTATATATCTAATCCCTCCTTAATATGTTCTCATTACAGGTGTGTGATTTTAACAAAATTATGTATGCAAGGCCGGAGCTAGGAAGCTATCGGGAGGGGGGGGGGGCTGTTGCCCCTTCAATCTCTGGGAGCGACGACGACAATTTGCCCCCGATCAACTGTCCAAAACGCAAAGCGCCTGTGACTTTGCCCCGCCAGGCAAAGTGGGTTAGCTACGGCCCTTCACATTGACTCAAGATAACAACGTTATAATATTATATGTGAGCTTACGCGACTGTCGTACTGACCTTGTCTCAAGCGATGGGTGTGTCCTTCGGCGTAACAATGTGTTAGTAGCTGCAACACGGCCCAGCAGAAAACCAGGCGAGAACGTTCAGGAAATATGTCCTCCATGACACCTACTCCATTTGCAATGCTGCACAGGTGCGGCTGTATGTACATACAGAGATGCTCAATCAATCAAGCAGCAGCAGCAGCGGCAGCAGCGGCAGCATCAGCAGCGGCAGCGGCGGCGGCAGCAGCAGCAGCAGCGGCAGCAGCGGCAGCATCAGCAGCAGAACAATAAGAGCTTATAGCTGCTTGCTAGCAGCTGCGCGAGCTCCAGTATCGATCACCGTAAGCGAGTGTAATTGTCACTATTACAGTTATGCCTCGGGAAACCGGAGCGATGCGGAATATGTATCAGTTGATAAAGGGTTAGCTGTTGGTCACTGTCGAGCCTTCAGGCTATTAGTTAAGAAATCGGGTTAAGATCGCGGTTTAGCTACATCTGTAGGCTTGGGATCGCAAAATAACCATATTCCGCCATTGGTGGTGTGGTGTCCGCGCTACGTAGGGGCCTAATAGTAGGATTCTGTCCTACTATCGACCAGACGACGCGTCGCGCGCGCCCATCATATACTGTTTGCGGGGATATTTCATGTCAGGACCATTCTTGGTATGCGCAGGACCTAGTGCAAATGTTCCGCAGTGTAAATTAGTAGCAGCTTTAAATAGGACGCCACACAGGGGCACTATTAAATGCTGCTGTATGACGCGTTTACGGTATAGGATAACGAGACGTATAATATATATTACTACATTAATTTATATATCTAACAACGCCGTGAAAGTTCCGCTGCTTTTAAACTTTTGATGTAAGATATATGCAATCATTAGCTGTCAATGTAACACACAAAATGAATACATTATATATCCACCTGTAACTTATTTTTTTCACAATAAACGAGTCGAAAATATTAGGAGCCATATAATTAGTGTAAAAATCAAGTTGACCCGCTAAAAACTCCCCGCAATGTAGGTTCTGTGTGATCACAGGAAACCCGCAACTGTGGCGTAGTGGGATGACTGCGAAAGTTTCCAAAAAGAGGTTTAGTCAAGCGAGAGAGTAGCTATAGGTTGTTTGAGTGACAATGTATGTTACAAAGGCACGTTTTGATTTTGACGCAAGGGTTTTCGCGGATACTGTATACGCCATATTTTTTCGCGTACAGATATTTTCGCGATTTCAGACTTGACGGACAATTTCGCGGTCGGTGAATTATGAATTATTCGGTATGAACTATTCGCGTGTTGTTATTTTCGCGGTCGGGGAATTCGCGAAAATTAAAACACCGCAAAATATACAGCTTATACAGTATGTAGTCACACTATCGAGGCAGATTTTATATAAAACGAGATTGTTGTATATATTTTATGTATTTATTATATTTTTTCTGCTTGTATTGCAGGAGGTTTCCCCGTTATTTTGGCTGCTTGGTCAGAGTAATAAATGGACTAACGGCCCAACACTCGGAACACATCATAGCCTATATCTTATTATTTTTACTTTACACGGAACTTTGATGTATCGGGACCACAATAGTGACAATACGGCAACTGTTAATTACCTATTAACAATAATAGACAACTTTAACTTAATATCGTGTTAATTCCGATTGAATAATCATAATAGACTAAAGGCATGATTCCTGGATTATGACTTACTTTTTATTATTAAACCATTTCATTGAATTAAATTATTGATTGTTTTCATGTTTACACTGATTAAATTCTTTATCGAGTGCTTCGTTATCTATTGGTAACTGGGTACTATGTTAATAGTGGAAAATAATGAAAGTGTCAATGACACTGTAGCTCACCACAAAAAAGGACACAAATGAGCGAGTAAGAAGAAGTCAGTTTTAATTGAGCAACCATCGACGTACATTATAGAAACGATTGCCATCTGTATATCGCAATAATAATTTATAAACCAAAATGAATCACAATTTGTGACCGTAGATGGCGCTATACCCGCTTTGTAGCGATGGCGTTTGAAATAAATATGTTATGCTGCGTTCCGACATGTTTTGTAAATCTTTACTCTAATATAGACGTTTTATTGGCAGGGTGGAGAGGAAATACCAATTTTGCATTAAAGATATTGTCAATGAAATCTTGTAAAACGAACCAAACGAGTGTGACACCACAGACTGTTTGTGTCTAAATAATAAGCTATATAATTGCCAAACACTACCTAATTTGCATAAATTTTTTTTAAATATCAAAACCCCTAGCCCTTATTCATTCACAGACCAAAAATGAGCAAAATCCGTTGAACCTGAACTGACTAATGCCAATTCCCATTTTTGCCAAAAAATTGCCGTGGCTCAAAAGTACATCGACTGGCGTGCTTCAAAATAGGACGTTTAATATGGGAGCATAGCAGTAACAACTATACCCAATTTCAAACATGTGGGACAAACGGTTCATGAGTTATCGTTGACTGAAGCGAAATGTTGACGGACGGACGAACGGCCGGACGGACGGACGGACGTACGACGACCCATGGCAATAGCTCAGCTTGACGATGTCAAGGTGAGCTAACCGGACGGACGTATGACGTACGACGACCCATGGCAATAGCTCAGCTTGACGATGTCAAGGTGAGCTAAAAATGTGGGAATATAATTCACGCATCATGCTGTATACTAGCAAGCAATATCAAGAGAATGACTAGCAACGAGAGCAAACTATCCAGTGGAGTTATAAGGGAAATTGGGGCAGGTTATTTGAACACCAAACCAAATACATTTTTTCATTTAATACTTTTTTTATTTACAAAACTTTTACATCTTTGGTCAACAAAACGTGTCATAATATATATATTTAGCAATGCGTGAGACAGCACCTGTAGCAGCCTAGGAAAAATACAGAAGCAGGAAAATATGTCTTACCGATGTACTTAAAAATTGCAATGTGACAACCTGCTGTTGATATGCGATCATGTTTCACAACTGTGCCCTCCTGAACGTTCATACTGCTAGTGAACCATTGCTCCACAACTTACTCGTGCCCCCCAACATGATTTCTCATCGAATACACTTAATTCTCGCGCTGCGGTCAGACGAATTTCCCCCCACCTCAAAGAATCCACGACAACAGTAAAGACGATTACTCTGTACACGTGATGCCACTTTCACTCCCTCACCCAATCGCTCAAAACGACGGCAGTAGTCGTTACAAGGCACACCGAAACCAAACATGCAAGCACCACCTAGGACAACAGCATCTTGTGTATATGTTACACACGCAGTTGCTTGCAATAAGGTACACCACTGGTCACGCGTACTTCTTATACACACTTTACACAATGAGGGATTCACATCAGCAGCTGCACTTCATTCAAACGATATGCAAGGTGGTTGAAAATTATAACCTCTGTAGTGATATTTTGGGAGAACATGTAAGCTGACAGCAAGAGTTGGACGATATGCCTTAATTGCCTATAAGCTGTCACTCGGGATAGGCAAATAAAAAAGCCAGAAGTTGTCCCGTTCGCAAAGTAAGCCCAACTTCACATCTGTGATGCGCACACATAAACCGGTACTATGTGTAGAAGGCAGTCGGCTGGACGTATATCCCATTAACACAGACATGAGCGGGACGTTATCTCTACAATGGCAGCAAAGAATTACAACACCAATAACGACGATAATTGCTCCTGTGGAAGTACTCGATGACAAGCACTATTACTAATGCATTAATTTCGCCCACAGATAGCAAGCAGCTCGCTGTCCAGCCACGGTCGGGCAGGCAAACGTCCACTGCAGCCATTGTTTGGTCTGTCGGAGTTGCTTAGCGGCGCTAGTGGGCTCACCACACTACGTCACCACTCCGCGTCACCGACAGCTTTCTGAAAGACAAAGTCCCTGCCCTGAAGGTTCATGATGCCGTCCTTCAGATAGAACTTCCACTTGTTACGACTTCTTGTGATCTGCAATGACAGTCACGAATGGAAATTGAGAAAACGGTGGATTATTCTGCTAACGTGTATTTCACTTTATTACAAGACCCTGGCCTGAATCATGCAAAAACTAAATGCAGCTTACATCCGCGCGCATAAGATGCAGCATATCCAATGGCATCATTCACCCATAACAAACAATAGCAATCATTGTCAATTTGCATGTAACAAACACCAATATAACTGAAAATAATGTGGAAAACCTGGACATTGTTCTCCTTCAAGCTTAATAGAGTGGTTTTCTCCACACAAAAATCCCACTATTTAATCGCAACCAATGTGTACATAGACATAGACACACAGGCAGACTGGGCTCACCTTATCATACTGACAGACAACAACGTTGTCAGTGTCAAAGAGTTCGGATGGCTCCTCTTCGCTAACGTCATCCTCAGAGTTTAATGGGTCCTTAAGTAGTAAAACAACAATTAATACACAACTCCTGAAGGGGAGAAAGGAGCCAGCAGCAAAATGTGAAACAAAGTGATCGATAATAACAAAGTTTTATGCAGATTTTTCTAAATTTCTTACTGATATTAGGCAATTAAAATTTGCATGAAGAATAAATAAACCAAAATTTAACTGGAACTAATGCTGTATTGCTATCCTTTAATGCTCACCTCTTCCTCTCCTTCAAATTCATTGTCATCGTTTTCTGCATCGTTATCATTGTCATCATCATCGTCGTCGTCATCAGCATCATCATCATCATCCTCATCACTGGTGTCACCACTTCCATCGACTTGTAGTAGTAAATGGCCTTGAGCTTTCTGTTGCATAACACAAAGCAATCTTTATGAGTATACACTAGTACACATTGAATATACATCACACATGCTATCTTGATACCTTAAAGATTATAATAGGTACAAATGCACCATTTTGATTATGCCAATTTGCATTCCTTCTAACATAATGTATGACTACACTGTATCTAGAACCACCTATTATGAAATAAGAGTGCATAGCTGCACATACCAGGTAATACCAGGTAATACATTTTAAGAACTGTAGTTTTTGCTAAGGTGGTGAATTTAGCTAAATCATTAGGTGGTAATATACACAAATAGTTGCTAACCTAAAGCAGGAACATTGTTAGCTTATTCAGAACTAAATTGAACCACGACTTCACAGCATATGGCAGTACATTCTTGCAGTTATAAGTAACAAAGCATTTCTTGGCATTAAATTAGCACCTGTCATCAGGACAATATTAACAGACGGTTACCAGTGAGGACAAGAGTATACACAATTACTAACTTAACAGACAGTTAACAGACCACTGCTGTCAGCATAGGCACTATCTGCTTACTAGCTAAAGGAGCTAAACTGTCGGTTGCAAAGCCAAACCAAAATAAAATACATGATAATATTTAATAAGATATGAGCCAATGAATGAATGATAATGATAAGATAAGGTAAAGAAAAAATTTAATTCACGCACCTTTGCTAATGAACGTCTTGTTTTTACAGGTCTCGCCTTGCTCCTTGTGCCCTCTTGAGCCACACCAGGACACTTCCATTCAACTGTTGCCTCATCTGAGTTTATTTTTTCTTCACTGGGGCCATCTAGTTGTGGCAGGTTCCCAGACGTTTTCTGCAACATCGATCCAAGCATCAGAAAACAACTGCCGATTTCAGAAACATGCAATGTTGCAGCAATGAAAGCTTTTATGATTAAATTTGGCTTATGCATGATACATAGTGATTATTTTAGAATGAATGACAAAAGAGTAACCGGCATATGGAAATATGATTATTCTGCAGGCTAAATAACTAATAAACATTCGTGAAACATTATAGGGCAATTCAGATGGTAATCGGGTTGAAATGACCATGCAGAAATAGCCCTGCACACTTAAATTGTCTACGTCACGAATCTCCTGAGAGTTATAGTTGTAACCTTACTTTTGTAATTTTTTTAACATCAAAAGTTAGGACTAACGTTAGTACGTTACTAAATATATATCCTCAAACTCTCACCTGATAAGAATGTTATTATGTTGGTTAAATTTTCAAAAATCTAGACAATTTGAAATACTGTCAATAACTGCTGTCAACACTATTTACAGTCTAGAAGACTATTTACTGGCGTCTCTCGGTTGCTGTGGTCAGTGTCATCGTGATTTGTGTATAGTGCACAGAGTGGTGCCCAAACAGTTTCTGTTTTGATTTGTGTTAGCTATATAGAATATAGAATATAGGAAAAATAAATAATATATACATGTTCATGTGTATTATGTTTGCAAAAATTATAAATAAAACTGCGAAATGCTATTTGTGTTTTTTTAATTTCTACCAACAAAATTTTTTGCGACATCCCCCTTCACGCTAGATCAACTAAACGATAAACAATGGTGGGCAGTCCAGTTCAATTCAGTGCATCGGAAAGAAAACGAAGGAGAAAAAAGCAGAGAGAAGATTATATTAGAAACTCCAGCTTAAGTTTACAAGGCATTTCCATGGCTGCCACAATAATTTTGCCAATGCCTCGTTTACCGCAGATGTTCGCTATATCGGCTAGCTGCGTCTGGGCGCCACACAAGAGTTTCGAATTAAAGGAATAATATGTCCATTGATTATGCAATGTTGACGAATGATCGAGTAACTGGCACCTTGTGTAGTTAATAAGTACATTACCTTATAGCCAAATGCGTATTAGTTTGTCCAATATCACTGCTGGTTACTAAGCATGCTCGGCCGTACGCAATGCTATCATCAGTGATTTCGTAAACACGGACGCTCGTGATAAGGAACTTTTTGTCAGGGCTGTCCATGTGCGTCCGTGAATAGTACGTGTGTTTTACTCCATTTCCATGTTTAGTCCGTGGCCGTGGTTACACAGCTGACACCTCCATTTCATCTGGCGTCCAAAACATACGGGCCGCACAAATGTTTACCTCATCGGCGACTTATCGCTTGACTCCTGGATGACATTTACAGCACGTAAATGAATATCAACAACCGATTTCGAGCCTTGCTTGTAATGTAACCAGCAGTGATATTGGACAAACTAATAAGCGTTAGGCTTTAAGGTTACGTACTTATTAACTACACAAGGTGCCAGTTACTCTAGCATACGTCAACATTGCATAATCAATGGACATATTATTCCTTTAATGGCGGTTGTGTTTGTGTCGAGCGTTTGGTTACATCAAATGCACCGGCAAATTAGGGAGTATAAAGAAGGTATATAAGCATGAAAAGTAAACAGAAACACTAATTGTATTTTCATACATATAATTTTGTATAAATAACACACAAATATACTACTTGCTGGTGCTAGAAATTCGTGACGTACACAGTTTAAAGAAATGTTAAAAGAAATTACATAATATCAAAAATAGATAATCTATAGTTGACCTAATTTCAGTAATATACATCTCTGCACAACACGTAGTGCTTTGAATATAAGGTTTGAAGTAACCCAAGGTACAATGATGCATATTAAAAGACTGCTACAATGGCTACATTCATTTGTGACTACTCCTCAGATCAGATGAGTGTTCTGGGATAGGTGAGTACTCACCGTGACTGAGGGTGTCGTATTCTGTGCCTGGGTGGCAGCCGGCTGCGTTGAGAACTGGATGCCGGCATTTCGCAGTACTGCCTGCACAGCGAGCTGGGCCTGCTGAGCGCCACCTGGTGATTGCTGGGCAGCGGCCAGCTGCTGTGCTACGCTGACAGGGATCTGCAGGTAAGCGGTGCCGGCATCTGCAACAAAACGCGTGCGATTCAGCCATCGCCAGCACTTGCAAACAGAATTGCAGACAAGTCTTTTCCAGCATGTATAGCTGCAGGCAACAGAATAAAGCTTCAAAATTTACTCAGAGATGAGATCCCATTGGAAAAGATATCACAGACATGAGATTTGGCAGCAGACAGTTTACCGAGACCACAAAGCACTGTGCCAACTTTTTTCTTTGCCTCTACTATTCAGCCTATCTCTTACTGTTTGCTTCTGCCTACACTATTTTACCCCATACTCACTCTTTCTCTCTGCACCTACTGTTCCGAATTCTCTTAGGGATTGGTTCCACCACCATTATTGTTCCCCAGTTATTCCTACCTGTAACCACCGTGTTTTCCAGCTACCTACATGTTCTTCTCTAACCTAAAGTTTATGTATAGCTTAACTATTCCTTTTGGTTCCTTACATTTTCGTTTATACCTTGTAATAGTATTCCACCTTGCCCAAACTGTTTCCCTCATACACTTACAATGTTTCTCTCTGCCCTGATTGTTCCTCTCTATACCCCTTGATGTTCTGCCTTGCTGTTGCTCCCTGTGTTACTGTTTTGTTCTGCCTCTCTTCGGTACTTCCCCACATGATTCATCCCCATCAAAAGATTTCTACTGTAATGTTAAAGTTGTTCCTAAAAAGCTTCCCTTTTCCTGTCCCTCTATGATTTCTCTCCACACTTTACACTTTATCCCTGCCTCGCTTCTTCTGACCTGCATACTAAGCACTGGCACACGTGTAATATACATTTAGGTGTTTCAGGTGATTGCCTGACATGGTGACCACCTTTAAAATCTTTTTTGCTTGCACACACCTGCCTGCCGGTGTATGTACAGGTCTGCCTGCTTGTGACTGCAAACTTCTTTCTACATGCATTTGCCTGTCTACAATCACCTGCTGCCTTCCAACTCCCTGCATTAGGTCCTACATCAAGCAACTGCCCACGTGCATTCGCATGCTCCGTGTGTTTGCCTGCCTGCATCTGCTTACGACATACGTCTACCTGCATGTGTCAAAGCTCCATGCATCTATCTTTTCGCGTCTGCCCCATTCCATTCGATGCAAGATCTGTCTGCATCTACTTGCCTGCATATGCCTGCTGTAAGCATCTTGCTGCCTGTGCCATACGCTGCAAGTATATATAGCTGCGTACGTTCATGCACTGCAAACAGGTACATGCCTGTGTCCACGCGATTCTACTTGCCATCCGAATGCGTCTACACACTATAAGCAGCCCTGTACGCATCCATCTGTCTGTATCCGTGCAGAGCATTCACCAGAGAATGCTCCAGCATTCACCTGCCTGAGACTGTTCACAGTAAACTATCACCTGCCTGTGTCTACATGCTGCTATCTGCAACCCACCTGTGCTACCTGCTACTTGCTACCTGCTGCCTACCTTGTGCTGGCACGCTGATACCTGCTACCTGCTACCTACTGCCTACCTTGTGCTGGCACGCTGATGCCTGCTACCTGCTCTGCATCGACACGCTGCTACTTACGTGTGTCTGCATGCTGATATATATTACCTGCCTGCATATGCATGCTGCTACCTGCTACCTGTCTGTATGTGCATGCTGCTACCTGTCTGTATGTGCATGCTGCTACCTGTCTGTATGTGCATGCTGCTACCTGCTACCTGTCTGTATGTGCATGCTGCTACCTGTCTGTATGTGCATGCTGCTACCTGTCTGTATGTGCATGCTGCTACCTGCTACCTGTCTGTATGTGCATGCTGCTACCTGTCTGTATGAGCATGCTGCTACCTGCTACCTGTCTGTATGTGCATGCTGCTACCTGT